GCGACTTCACGGTCAGGGCGGCTAGGGTCTGGAACCAGCTTCCAAGTGAGGTGGTGCAGGCTCCCACCCTGGGGGTTTTTAAGAGGAGGTTGGATGACCACCTTACTGGGGTCATTTGACCCCAGTGCTCTTCCTGCCATGGCAGGGGGTCGGACTAGATGATCTGCTCAGGTCCCTTCCAACCCTAGAAACTATGAAACCTGCTGCGATGCCCACTGCTTGAACGCACACGTACAATGAAAGACCTTGCAAAGTACAGCAAACAAGCGCAAGCACATGTAACAAAAATGATCAAATGTGGTGTAGGGACACAAGAAGATAAGTGTTTGCATGCCTAACAATCCTTACAAGGCTTAAAAATGTACAATGCTTAAGAGCGTCTCATGGCACCCTGACTCAAATAGAAACCTTTACTGACTTGCTTGAAATAGGGGGTTGACTAATATTCAGCTGCCCTAGTATAATGGTTGTCTGCAGTGGGACTCCCTAGGTAAGAGAATGACAGTCTTCCATTAAGATAGGGAAGTAATAGCCGAGTCCAAAAATAACTGAAGCAGCCAATTTGCGATCAGCATGTTCAACTGCAAACAGCAAGTAGTCTAGGAGGAAGATGCAGATCCTACTGATGCTGGATCACAGCTCTCGCCCTTTGTCTCTCATTTATCTGCTTCCACAGTGAGGCAAGTTTGCTCAAAATTATCAATACCTTGTGATGCGCCAGGGCATCAGTGGGTATGATTCAGAGCTCAAGTCTCCCAGGCAGTGATGGTAATATGGCATTTCTTCTGATTGGCCTTCAAGATATCCTTGAATCTCTTCTTTTGCCCACCTCTAAAGCAGAGACCATGAGTGACCCATGGTCACCCAGCATTACACAGGTCAAATAAAGTATCAAGACAGTCATAAAAACTTGTACATCCCTATAATTCTTGTCCTATAAGGAAAGTGAGTTTATGGGCAGCTGGAACATTCAAGAAGCAAATTTAGCAGCCCTTGTTCCACAGATACGTTTTGTCATCTTCCTTCATAGCACAATGCTATTGTTCAGTGCACTCAGCCACTGAGGTAGGGGAAGCTGCAGTGTAAATCATCCTTAGAGCAGGAAACATTTTGGATCCTGAAAACTGAGATGGTCCCATCAAGACTAGGAAAAAAAAAAGGTGTGCCATGATTTCTCTCTCCCTGCACTTTTTGCAAAAAAGTTGTATGGATTTCCTATCCGATCTCCATAACAGTATGGCAAACTCAGCACCTTCAAACCTACGCAACAAGACAAACCTACCAACTTTCTGCAAATGCCTTGCTGATGCATAATTTCCACAGACTTGAGAAATGAAGCAAAGTCAGCCTAACTAAACAAGAGACCTCAGTCACCCTCTACTAACCTAATATAAAATGTACATATTACTGGGGCACCTGAAAGCCTGGCAAATTAGCAGGCTGATGCACCAACAAAAGCCATGCTCTGGCAAAATGCAAGTGTCCAGAGATCTCCTGCAGAATTAC